ACCACAATACATAGGGAAGTAAAAGTTGAAATCATTATTCTGTATATGCAGGAGTAGAAATGCATTATTATGGTACATGTTATAAACACACCCATGTAACTTTGCTTTTTTAGGTAAGTTTGAAAATATTTTCTAAAATAACTTCTGGATAACACTCTTACAGTCCTCTACTGCTCCTGGCATATAGTTCACTGGTTCCTTAACATCTCCCAATACTATAGTGTCACATCCAAAGCTGTTGGAACTGAGAAAGCCATCCAACATATCTGATGAAAACAAAAAACAAAAAAAGAAAGAAAGAGAAGAAAAAGAAAAAAACAAATCCTCAATGTGACCCCTGAGAGTAAAGTTAATGTGCTGGTAGAGACCTGAGGAATCAGAAAATAGAAGGAAAGTGGATAATAAAATTGAGTAAGACTTCCCATGGCTCAATAAAATGGCTCTAAAGGTGACACTACTAATCTTTTTTTTTTTCCTTCTTTAAAAGCCTTAGGAGATCATTATGGAAATAGCAATTAATTTTCAAGACTGAAGAAGAAAAGTGTGTACAAATTATAAATTTTATATCATAGTATTTTCAAAATTCATTTTATGAAACTCTACTCAGAGGAGACTACTCATAAATAGTAATAAAAAAATCTTCTAAAGTTACTGTACATTAACATATTTAAAGAGTGACAAGTTCTGGGGGTGCCTCGGTGGCTCAGTCATCTAAGCATCTGCCTTTGGCTCGGTTCATGATCCTGAGGTTCTGGGATCAAGACCTGTGTTGGGTTCCCTGCCCAGAGAGGAACCTGCTTCTCCCTCTCCCTTTGCATGCTTCTCCCTCTGCTTGTGCTCTCTCTCTCTCTCTTCCTGTCCAAAAGAGAAATAAAAAGCTTAAAAAAAAAAAAAAAGAGTGGCAAGTTATGAAGCAAATGTAGTCATTTAACTTAGAGTTACTGTGTTTTCCAAACTTCTAAAACTCTAAAATCTTTTATTTTATGAAACACCTATTACTACTTAGCAGTTTAGAAAAGCCAATTTACTATATTATGTAATTTTCATGGACATACCATTCATATAATTTAATATTTAACATTTGTCCTGTTATAGAAACACGATAGCTATGTAAAGCTTTCTTTTATGTCAACTGGTAAAAATACAAGCTATATATAAATAAGCCAAATGTGTCTGATATATATACCACATAACTAGTCTGCTTATATAAATGTTTATATGGGTCATGTCCCTCAAAAGACTCATATGTCACAGCAAAAATAAATGTCTTTGGTCTGGAGTAAAAGCTAATTAAAAATATTGGCTCATGTGGCTGTTCTCCTATAATACTTTTTGTTTAGGACTCTAAGAATAGTCACAGAGGCTGAGTCTACAAGTTTCCCTCATAGAATTTATTAAAATCCTCTTTAAAAAATAACAAACAGGGGCGCCTGGGTGGCTCAGTGGGTTGAAGCCTCTGCCTTCGGCTCAGGTCATGATCCCAGGGTCCTGGGATCGAGCCCCGCATCGGGCTCTCTGCTCAGCGCAGAGCCTGTTTCCCTTCCTCTCTCTCTGCCTGCCTCTCTGTCTACTTGTGATCTCCGTCTGTCAAATAAATAAATAAAATCTTTAAAAAAAAAAAAAAATAACAAACAGGATAACATGTAGTAACTAATTCTGAATTTCAAAATACTTTGAAAAAAAATAAAAATACTGTATTTAAGAAGATAATTTCATTAATATAATTCCATCTATTTACCTACTTATGTATCTAGCTGACTACCCTGAAACAGTAAAGGTTTGAGACTTATTTTTAAAAACTGATCATTCATGTATAGTATAACCAAAAAATTGGCCAGTATCCAGCATAGATAATAACAGAAGAAAAGCATTCTTTCTGTGGTGTTTAAGATCATTTAGCTAAGTCATCTTAGATGGACAATTCCAAGGTTGCATGAATTCCAACCTCAATAGGCTTCCTCTCCACCCCTGCCCAGTGACATATGCTATAAGTTGGACAAGAATTTTTTATAGTTCTCTAAGCTGAATATTAACTGTATAATAAATTCCATGTTGCCATGAATAAAAGCTCTTATCTACTGACCACTTGTCATGTACCAGGAATGCTGGAAATGAAAGAAATCCTACCAGTTATCATAATTCATTTCTGCATTTAAAAAAAGAGGAACTGAGTTATAGAGAGCTCAAGGTAATTTTCCAAGGTCAAATGTACCAGGGTGATGGATTTTTTAATTCACTGTTATTTCTATTGCATTGGCTGGTTTTGACTGGCCTACCATGAGTCTATGGAGTCTTAGAAGACTCATTTGGTCTTTAGAAAATGATTTGCTGTATGTGTTCCAGGTATCTCACTTCCACCCTAAGTTTATATAAATATATGCCCATTTATATTACTTCAGAATAGAAGACACTGAAGCAGTAGAATCTGACAAAGCACACAAAATGGTTTTCTTTTTTAAGATCAAACATATTTTGTATCAATTTCCATATGTATAAGAATATATGTATATACATATTATATGTGTATAAATAATACAATGTAGGGAAGCAGAGAGAAGCTATGTTTTAAAATCTACATTGTTTTTCTCTTCCACACATCATGCTTTTATGTTTTAGATAATCTGTGTTCAAGGAGTGTAAATTTGCTTAAGAATCCATCAAAATAGAAAGTGAATTGACAAGTAATTTTTTCCCGTAAAATTATACAGATATGCCCATACATGCACACACAAACATACACACATAGACACATATATAGATGGACTAAAAAGTAAAATGTCTATATAGATGTGTGTATGTTTGTATACACAACCAGACATACACAGATATATAAACACCCATAATCTATATTATTTTTATGATGTAACCTTTATCAACACAGATAACTGTGGAACTATAATTTGTATTTATATTTCCAGACACAAAGTCAAGGTTTAATCCCTACATGCTTCATTGTTTAAAAAAAATAATATGTCTTAAAAGATGTTTGTAGATGTCTTTGAGGACAGCATCTCTGGTTGGTTTGTGGTTGGTTTACATTTTTAATTTAATCTATTGTCCATAGGCTACTATCTAAATCCCATAATTCAAATGTGTAGATCACTCAGAATTTAAAGATGAAGTAATAGTATGGCTCTCTGGGTCTTGGAAAAACAGTATTAAGACAACATTCTAAACATTTAAGGGGAAGAATCTTAAAGTCATACCATAATTTCTTTTTTAATATTTTTCAAAAAGTAACTGACTTCACAAACACCAACTATAACATGATTTAGACAACTGAGAAACAGGCAAGGGTACTTTCAAATGCTAAAAGAAAACACATTTATACAAGTACAAAGCAAAACAATGCTGATAAAAATGTTAAACTTTATGAAAAAAATCATTTGCAATTCACATCAAAATAATTTAACATTCTCTATTGTTTTAATAGTACAAGCTGCTACAACAGAAAAAGAACAGATACGCGCACACAATTTTAAAACCAAATCAGTTAAAGTGCAGAAAAAAGTAAATACAAGCACTTGTAGCCCACACAAATCTTTTAGGATTGGCACCATCTTTCTAAAACATCTATATTCTATATAGATTTCTAATTACAACACCACCAGCAGCTGCCATTGAATTCTAGAAGTACACACAATATACATAGTATATTTGTTCACATTGGGAAGATCAGTGAAATTCAGCCAACTATTTTATACATACCTCATTCTTCAACAGATAGTAGAGAATCTCCCAGGCCTCAGACCCTCTTGAGAATGAATTTTGATTTATCTTTATGCTTTTCACTGATCTGTATTTTTTCACAGTATAAAATTGTAAATGGTTAACTACAGAGATTCTGCCAGCTCAAGGGTTATTAAGAAGCTGTGGCTAAATGTGAACTCAGATAATACTTTTGAAGTCTCCAAAACATGTACATTTTGCTGGGAGACTAGCATAGGAAGTGTTTTTTGTTTTTTGTTTTTTCTTAAAAAGTGTTTAATTCCTGGTTTGGAAGTCCCAGAACTGCAGCAGAGCCATTGTAACAACTCATTCACAGTCAGAAATAGCTCCTAGTCTTCCTGATGGCTTGCTGGGAACAGCAGAAGCTTGGGAAAGACTTTAACTAACAAGGATTAGCACATTCGGGGATTTACTGTTTTTCTTTGCTTCTTTCAAATCTCATACGGTTTTCCTTTGCGTCCTCCCTCTCTGTTCCCCACCCCTCACCCAGAGAGATGTTTCTTCCCAATCCACTTAGGGTCTTCTCTGCCCCTACTCCTCTCCCAAAACAGAAGAGTGAGTGGACTGCTTAGATGGTCCATATAACTTGATCAAACTGGGTCTTCTTTCTTTCATCCTGGGACCAAACTGTCCTGTAGGGTCACTTTTCTGAATCTTAGCATTTCACTGTACTTTCCCCTTCCTTTTGGTCATGCTGGTCCAACTGAATTATCACTGGACACCAGGAACAGACTGTTTTCAAGGAAATTCAATGAAAATAGGTACCCAAATGAATTGCGAAGTTCATATCCTAGCCCTAGAATGAATATTCAGTTCTCCTTGTAGATTTATTACTTGGAACCTGGTATTAAAATTGGCAAAGAGACAGAGCTAGCATCATTCCAAAATAAAAGATCCCAAGAATGCATTACGAATAATATTATGTATTATACAATGTACTGAATGAAATGGCAAAGGGTGCAGAAACACAGAGAAAAATACATATTGTTCTCCTTCAATTGGATAAATTATTTTTCTTATTACAGTTTATCATAATTTCATATAGAATTATCAGATGGAAATTTAATTTTGCATTAAATTTTAATTTCTGATGAATTTTCTCATAAGGTAGTGTACTTTTTAACGAAATATGTCACTAAAAATTTAGAAGAGGAATTTGCTCATGGAAAAAGTTTTTAAAACTGTTTTTCTATTGGTCAGTACAGAATAAAATGGAAATCAACTACAGGGTTTAAGAAGCAAATTTAAAATTTAGACAATAGAGTATATTTGCAAAGGTTTTAATGTTTAAGAAATCAAGATGGTAATCCCCAGGTGAATGCCACCCTTTTCAAGAGGATTGAGGGGTGTTAATGCTTCAAAATATTTACATTTGTTTTTGAAGTAAAGGCAGACATTCGCTTTCAATGAAACCATAAAGTTTGGCTAAATTCACTCTTTCAAGAGTCTCATTAGAACATGTGGGTTTCAGGGTGCTCTGATGACGTTATTTTCAAATCTGGCATGGGAAGTTTGATTTTTGAAAATTTATATTTTACTAAATTAATGTGCTTTTAATATTTTATACTGGGAGATTTGATTTAAAGATTTAAGAACAGATATCAGGAAAGTCAAGCAGTATACATATTATAAATTTTAAAACTGGGGAATGATAAGTTACGTGAATGGATATATTTCCATTCCTCAATTCCTTTTTTAAAGTAGATGTACAATAAAAAATACATGCCAAAATAAGGATATTGAGCTCAAGAAAAAGGTTTCATTTATTTTTCTTTCTGCTAAAAATATACTTCTGCCTCAGCAAATCTTTTTCATAAGGCTATCTTTAGTATAAGGCTAGATCAACTAAACTCTAAATTTATAGGATACCTCCTCCTTTTATTACTATCCTTATTTAAAAATTAAAAACGAAACCAAAACCAAAACAAAACAAACAAACAAACAAACAAAAAGAAACATTTGGCACCTGAGGATAGCTGTAATGGGAAGAAGAAAGAGATGACAGTGGATGCAGGTCTCAAGCTATGAATACTACCTATATGAGCCTATTAAAGCACATGTATTTCTATTATATCTTTAAATCTCTTTTCTGCAGTATTTAAAAAGTGACAGTATGAAGTGCACAAAATCATATTAATTATTTTAAAAAGGAAATATTAATAATTGCTTTGCCTCTTTTTGGAATGGCTAAGAAAGACTGTGTGGTTTATATTCATTAAGGTTCCTCTGTTTTAGTATTCTGTATTGCTTTGAAAAATCTACATTTGTCATAGTTCATAGCTGCCCTATTTAAGCAGCCGAGAAAAGTTAAAATCACTGCTCACTGGCATAGCTAAATCTCTGCTAAGCCGACTTGACACAGTTTAAAATTTCCAGTGTATTAAGATTGTGTTAACTTTTTGAACAACAGTCCCTTCAGTCATGATGCTGTCTTCAGTGGGTCTATAGACCATTCTTCCAGTGGTGGGACTTGAAAAGAACAGAGGAGCTCTTTGTGCATCAGGTTCTCAAAGAAAAGGAATGAAGAAGCCCAAATGCATATATTAATATTTTAGCTGGCAATGCTAATGGAACAGCATTTGTAAGGAGGAGTGGCCACATTTCATGAAAGAGATAGCCAAGCTGGAGCTCAGGAATTATTATTGTTATTATTATTATTATTATAAAGAGAATTTCCAGCTACACAACGTACCCCAGTGAGGGAATTACAAAACAGTATTCCAGAAAATATTTTTTTGCTACTCCAGTATTGATTGGCAACATGGTGAAATAGTCAAGAAATCTTCCACTGGTTTTCTTGGTTAATGGAGGTGAATTGAAATAACTAGGTGGACTCCTGGATGCAGGCTTCTGGAAGAGGATTTCAAACCAAATCGGAGAGGAATGTCTCTGGTATAAGTCCTGCACACGTCAGCACAGCACTCATTATCCCGTTGTGTGTTATGCATGGGACACACTCAGAACAACGCCTCAGTAAATACTGGGCCCAAGGTACTGCTTTTCAAGGTCTTTACAGGACAGAAAAAAGAAAGAAAAAAAGAGAGAGAGAAAGAGAAACGTTGACGTTTTGGTCCCAGATTTTGAGTTTGTTAGAAAATGTACATTCATGTTTGGTGAATCAAAGAATCTTCTGGGAAAAGAATTAAAGTAAACAAAACTTTTTACAGTTGCTTATTAACTATGCTCTTCCCCCTCCATTATGCTGTTTCACGCTCATTGCTTCCCTAGAGCAAAGCACTTGGTATGGAACTGGTTCAACAGACTCCTTGTCAGCCCTCAAAAAGATAAGCAGTGTTTCTTAAAAGCCCGTGTTTTCTAAGGCCACTAGAAGAAAATCTGCCAGAAGATTTGTAGTTGGTGTCTTCGTCGGTTGATGTGAAATAGCACTATTAATCTCACGTTTCCGTTGCGGGTGCACTTGGCATCTTCCACCTCGGGTCTTCACCAGGCGACTATGCTTGTCACTGTGTCTGCGTGAACGCGGGAGGTCTCGGCTCCGTCAGCGGAAGCCAGCGTGGTTTCCGAGGACATTCACAACGACGAGGAGCTCTGAGTGTAATCTCTTATGATCAGTGTGTCATATTTGGGAGACGATGGGATACAGAGGGCCGACTCCGACACTGGCGAGTTGGGGGTGGTACTCCCGGAGTCCACCGAGTCTCTAAAGGGGGACGGCGGGGTGAGAGCCACCAACTCTTCCAGGTCCGCCTTCCCCGCGGCAGCCTCGGGCCCGGCCGCCGCCGGGGGCTCTTCGGCAGCGCCCCCTACCGGCGGGGCCGCCGCCGCCACCGCCGCGGGCGGCGCGCCGCCCGTGACCTCGATGGCTGGCAGAGGCTGGATTTCGGCGAACGTCGTCATGGTCGTGGGCAGCTGGATCTCTTTGGGGATCAGGTAGGACGAGCAGAGCGGGGCGCCCACGCCGGGGCCGGGCGCAGCGGTGGACAGCATCATGGAGTTGAGCTCGCTGATGTTGGCCGTGAAGCGGGTCACCACGCTGCTGATCTGCTCCATGAGCGAGCCCTGCGAAGAGCTGCTGCGCGCCGCGGGCTCCGAGTGCAGCGACGGCACGTCGTCGTCAGTGCGGCTGGCCGAGCCCGCGCGCTGGCTCAGCGTGCTGATGGGCGACGGCGAGCGCGGGCGCGCGGGCGCGGAGAAGTGCTCCTCGGCCTCCGCCACGTGGTACAGCGCCTTGGGGCCGGCGTCCGGGGGCTCCGCCCCCCCGGGGCCGCCTCCCGCGGCCCCCGCGCCCCCGCCCGCGCCGCCCGCGGCCCCCGCGCCGCTGCCCGCGCCGCCAGCGCCCAGGCCGCGGCTCTCGGTGCTCTTGGGGAAGGGCTTGATGACGGCCGTTTGGTTGGGGTTCTCCTTCTTGTTGATGTGGATGGACAGCCGCTGCCACAGGTGCTGCCCCCGGCTGCTCTTCTCGTTCTGGGCCCACGTGACGGATTTTCCGTTGGAGCTGCGGAGAGAAGGGAGACCAGAGGTAACTCGGAGGTTCCCCAGTGCTGGGTGATGGGACTCGGATCGGGAAGGACTTCTCCTGGTCTTTCAGGAAAGAAGGCTTCAGAGGAAACCCCGGGCAGAGGTCTTAAAAGAGGCCTTCGGTTTATCATTACCACGAAAGTGTGTGGCAGGGGATGGTAGGAAGGATAAAGGATGGAGATTATTGGAGATGTAGCAGCAGTTCTGAGCCCGCTCAGGAGTGCAAGGGCTGGTTATGCCGCAAAGCTGGAAACCAAGCCTTGCAGTATTGTGGCGGTGTGCAGAAGTGCCTGGTACTGGGCACGGGCTTCCTGAAGTTGGCGGCCTCTGAAAGGAAACGGTAGAACTAGGACCTCAACTCACCAGCCCAGTCATCAGAGGGAAGGAAAAGGGTGGGAGTCAAGGGTTACCAGGAAATAGACAGTGGTTCCGGTTCACTTTTTGTCCTGCAAGCCAACTATTGGTGTATTTGACTAGGGATTTCTTTCACAACTCCAGACTTTAACACGGTTTTAGTTAGCCTGGCTTATCTGCTGGAAAATAGAAATTCATTGAACACATACACAAATTTCTAATTAATTAGAGCGTTTCTACTTCACCCAAATTTTCCTCCCAAATTTGTTTTTAGGCATATAGCTTGAATCACAGTTCTATGAGAGAGCATATTGCCTTTGGCACCTCGCATATTGATTTCCAATTAGGGTCTTGATGAGTGTTTCTGGCTCACTTGACTTCTTAGGACCTTTCTTCCTCTTCCCTTTCTCCTAGCAGCCCATTTTGGTTTCCACCCTGGGGTCTGAAAGCGCCTCTAATGAAGATGGAATTGGTGCCTCAGCCTCAGGTCCTGACTGTGTCCTCCTTACCAGTAAATAAGACACAACTTCTGAAACCACAGACCCTCTATCAGGAACCTCACTAGTGGTCAGAGGATGTGGCTAGACCTTCAGGAATGTTCTGTGGAGAGAGTGTGGGGGATATTTGGGATTTCTCATGACAAAGGAATCCGAGATCTCTGTAGGGAGGGGATCTCTTTCTGTCCTAGGTGGTGTGACCAAGTGATAACCTTGAGCAGTCTATGAACAAAAGGCTTTGGCCACCCAGTTTTCTCATCTCAGCCAGGGTTGATGAAACTTAATCATGCCTAAGACTCATAGAGGGCATTTGTCCGCTATCCCAGGCAGGACCCCGGGAAGATTCTGATGGTCTGGATTGGGTTCCAAGGATCTATGCATTTTACAGCACTCCATCCCCAAAGTGATGACACTGCAGGTGTTTCCCAAACCGAGAAACTCTAGCAGGAAGCTCTCCTTTCTTTCTGGGTTCCCACTGCTCCCTTGGCCTCCTTGCTGGAGGGCTGAACTGCTTTTTCCAGGAAGGGGTCTGAATTGTATTTGGAGCCCACCTGCCATGGGCTGCCAGATCCACTCTGCCTGAGACACCTACTCCTTTGAAAATAGACCCCTGTTTCTGCAGCTCGTATGACAGGATGCTTCCTCTTTCCCATCCTGCTTCTCATTTTTTACATCTGTCCCTTTCCTCTTTGTGGTCTTCCTTTTTCTGCTCTTCCTCTGAGATCTCATTCTATTTAATCTACCCAATATTTTGCAACCTGGTGTCGTTCAGAATTCTGGAACGAGATGGGTCCTCCTCCTCCCCTGTCCCTCTTCCTGCAAAGGATGGATAAATTCTTTCCAGGTTTGGAGGCTGATGTGCATCCCCAGTAGCAGAATAGGCCCTGCCAACCTAACTTTTCCTTTGCGGATTTGTTTCTACATTTTTGCATTAACCTGACCTGCCACCTTTTATGTTTTTAGTACATTACTTTCTTCTTCCCAGGTGTCTACTAACTTCTGGAACATGGCATAGAAGAAATGGGCCAGACTATTTATGGGATTTCATTGGGAGGATTGTTGCCAACAATCCCTTTTCTCTCCTACCAGCAGGATAAGAAACAGGTATGTTGGAAAGGACAATTAATCTTTCAGGTTGCTGAGGCCGCTTTTAATACAAAGCATGGGCTAGAAAATAGAAGCCTAACTGGATTTATCCTACCAAGCTTTACTGTAGAAAGATTCTTGCTTCCGACATAGAGAGGTTTTGATGGAACATAACTCTGGCTATTAATGGTGACAGGAATCACATGTAGTGGTGCCTAAAAACATGATGGCACATTGAAAAGCCTTTGGATGAATGTGCGAGAAGGAAGCTATCCTACCCAGCCAGTCTGCACAGAGTACTGATATTGCGGCCGGCCATGCCTTTGCTCGTAGTGTCTATGGTCATACGGGAGAGAGAGCACCAGACAACCTGCATACCAATGGAAATGGATGCAGGAGACACCAGAGAAATGGAGGCCAAATCTGAGCACTTCCTTTCATTCCTTGGGTCATGACAGGGTTTTTTTTTTTTCCTCCAGAATGGGAAATTTTAATAAGCACTTTTTGGACAAATAGGATTTTCTTAAGCTAACAGGACCATTGCGTGGTGTCCTCAAAGTTCAGTAGACAAAGGAACCTAAAATCTGGGTTCTAATCCTGGATCTTCCAGCCTGGATGACTGGAAAATAATAGTCTGAAAGCCTTGGTCAAAAGCAGAGAGGATGTAATTTAGCAAAGGTGGTTGTGAGGATTCAATGAGACAGACTGTACAGGTGTGAAAGGTTCTTGTAAGGAGAAGGTATCTAAGAGTGTTAGTTTTTTCATTCCATGTGAATATTGCATTTCAGAAAATAAAAACAATATACTCATGTGGTTTTGAGCTCTGGCTGAGAAACATGGAATTCAGTGTAAAGTAAAATATTTTATGTGGTAAAGCCATAAGATATTTTTGGTTGTTCCATCGGGTTTGGTCTGTGGTCTTTTTCCATGCTAAGTTGTCTACTTAGTGATCGCATCCACTTCACTAAATTCTACAATATTCCACAGTTTACTTCTTCCCGAAATACTCTTTCATAGTGCTCCCTCCTCTCTGTCTCTTCCTTGCATTTTGACTAAGCTCTTCCTATCAGGTTTTGTTTTTTTTTTTTTTTTTCAGATTTTACTTTAATTGCTTTTTCTTGAGATGCTTTTCTGACCCCGCCTCGACTAGGTTAGAACTAGGGTTCTTCATATCCTGCTATAGCCAGGGTACCCAGTGCATGCGCTCCATAATATGTTTGAACTAATAATTGAGTGGATACATGCATTTCATTTCAAAAAATCTATACTGATTGTTTTTGTTAGAATTACTTTTTAAAAATAATTCAATAATAAAAAACATTCAATATTAAAAAAAAACTATTTCTTTTGTTTTATGGATCGATCTACTTTTCATAGAACTTACTGTAATCAGTAGTGCTCAGTGTACGCAAATAAAAGATATTTAATTAATTAAATACAAAAACACAGATCTTCATATCTACTATGAAAATCACAAAGGATTTGTTCCTTTTTTGTAATTTATATACATATATGTGTATATGTGTATGTATATGTATGTAGGTACAATGTGTGTGTGTGTGTGTGTATTTGTTTTAGTGAAATTTCTCAGTGATGGAAGTTTATGGAGGCAGTATTGATAGTAGCCCCAGAATGTGGGTGTACGATCTGGCCCTGAGTGATGGTGGCAAATCACTTAACACCTTTGTGCCTCTTTGTTCTTTCATATAAAAAGGAAGAAATAAACCTCCCCTTGCTTACCTCACATGATTTCTGGGAGGAATCCAAATGGTAGTACACATGAGGGTAATTTATAAAGCACAGCACCTCTACTAACTTCACCATCAAATCTTACAACCAGTTGAGATAAAACCATTATTGTTGCTGTTGTTGAGATTTTTTTTTTTTTTGGATCAGGATTATACATTTGCCTTAAGGGCCCTGAGGTAAAACAAGAGAAAGCAAACTTTTCCTTACCTGTCTATAGCACTTGACCTTCCCCACTGAATATTTTAGGCATTAGAGAAAAAGGAGGCGAGAGGAATGGAGAGAGACAGAACAGATGGTTTGCTACATCTGGAAAGGATAGTTTGGCCAAAAAAACCTGTAAAAAGTGTGCTCTTTCCAGGCACCAATTAACCCTTTGCTAAATATAAAACTATGTTTTCTAATGTTCTTTCTACTATACAATTGGTTCTTTTCTGGGAGGGAGAAAAGAACATTTTGATAATGTTATTTGAGGATTGCATTTTTTGTTTTTGTTTACAGTTTGTGTCTGCCAAAATGACACTATCTACCCTTATTCTCAGAAGTTTATTCTTCCTTTTTCTATTCCATGCATGACGCATAAATAATTTATTCACTTCAAGCAGGCTCTGAATGTCAGCTCAATGACCTCTCCCAGTTTCTCTATTCATCTGCCAAAACCTGTGGGAATTAGCATTCTGCCATGGCAAACCATCATTAGGAGGCAAATGTTAATAAAGAGAGTTTGACCATTCAAAAAGTCTATGGAATTTAGAATTTTTGTGTTCATTTTAAATGGCTGTTGAATTAAAAAAATAAAAATAAAAATGACTGTTGAATGGCTGGTGTGTTTTTTTTCCTGAAAAATTGTTTAGGGTTTTATTAAGGCCATAGAAACAATTAAAATCCTCAGAACACTTCACTGAATGAAAAAACTATGCCTTTATCCTCTCTTTTGTTACATGGTTTAGTAGTACCTTCATGAGTTGTACAGATTTAGGGTATCAGAATAATCAAATATATCCTTTGAAAATTAGCACATTCTTTTCATGAAAAAATTATCTTCATTACTACACCTCTCTTGTTTATGATTTTGAGTTTAGAGGTAGCCAGGAGAGAGGAATAGTAAGATTATGAGCTAGGTTCCTAATACACAAAATATATATTTTTAAAAGGTTTTATTTATCCATTTGACAGAGAGAGAGAGACAGAGCACAAGCAGGGGGAGCAGTAGAGGCAAAGGGAAAAGCAGACCAGCTGAGCAGGGCGCTAGTGCGGTGCTCAGTCCCAGGACCTTTGAGATCATGACCCGAGCTGAAGGCAGACTCTCAATGACTGAGCCACCCAGGCGCCCCTACAAAAAAATATTTTAAAAAAATGTTAAAAAGCTTGTAATGTCATTAGCAACTTTGTCTTTGGAATGACTTCAGAAAATACTAGGCCAGTAAAAGAATTTCATGAATTAAGAATATTATAAGCAGAAAATTTCCAATTGCAGTTCCATTTTTCTGCACATTTTCTTAAACTTTTATCAGTATATTTTGCTTGCCATAATTTGCTTTGAATTAACAAAGTATGGAAATATGTTCTTAAAAAGATAATGAAGAATTTGATATTGCTTACATTCAGACACTCTAAATTAGGTGGAATAATTTCTTTCTGAGCCTTGCCTAAAATCTGACATCTTGATTTTGACAATTACACTGAGAAATACACCACGTATAAGAAAATGGCAGAATCATCCATATGAATTTCCCCAGTTACAGCATAAATGGATGTAAATAGCTATCTTGCTGACAAAAACAAGTTAAATGGCTGTGATGATGTATGCATTAGAAATACACATATAGAGAAAAACACTTGAGTAAATGGAAACGAATTACCTACAGTGACACAATAATTGGAAGCACTATCGCCTTATATTTGCATCGTGCTTTATAAAGTACTTTAGGAACACTGATTGTCAAAGTTAGATAGGACCCATGTTTTGGTCCTTCTTTCAAAAATAAAACTGAGGCTCTGTGAGATAGGCGATTTGCCCAAAGTTAAGCAGTGAGAAAATGACAACGTGGAACCAATACCATCTCATGATTTCCAATTCACTTTTCATGAAAGTACACCGCCCATATTTGTTTTTTGAAGTAAGCTGTCCTTATTTCAAGCCCTCAGATATTACCTGGTGATGATATGCATTTTTAAGTAGATAAGTTAGTCATTTGATTTATGTTCTCTATTACCATATGTCTTCATTCTTCTTAATCATATACTTTGAAGTCTCAAGAAAGCACCTTATATCACTCTTTGGTTGTTAACTCAAATATCACAGGTTGACCCGAGCACTTACACTTGGCAAGGATAATATTGGATGCATCGATGATGAAGGCACTTCTTTATACCACCATATAAATAAAGAGCATAGAGCAATTTTTAGCCCCTCTTTTTCCCTCCATGCTATGATCTAGTAAAAGAAAGTTGTCTTATGTGTAGCACACTTATTTTCTCTCTTATTTTGGAATGCCACTGAATGAGAATGGTGTAATGTCAAGGATAACTATTTTGCAAATTTTGACATTTCAACTGATATTGGTAATAAGTGATATGTGATACCTCAGCAAATGATTGTGATTGATCAGTATTTTTTGGTACTTTGGTGGAGAGTTGCTGACATGAGACTTCCCTCAAAGAGGGCAAGAGAGAAGATGGACGTAGAAGGCTAGGAATATGAGTTATTCCTAGTATTTTGATAGAAAGAGGTTGTTTGTCTTTTCCCTAGTTCCTTGAAAGAAGGAAGCAGATGGACAGTTTGAAGGGTGCTGAGGACAGAAGAATGAGAGATTGTGGAGCATGGGAGCAAATAGTCAGTTCATTGGGTAACTATAGAGTTCAGATCACAAGGGATTCAAAACTTCACAAGAGGAAGAAATCATTTCTAGCAGGAGGGAAGTGGCCAGGGAATGATGCTTGCCTCAGGAGACAGATTGTATCTACACCTGGAAAAATTAGTAGATGATGGCGAAATCCAAAAAGAGCAGCAGGCATTGCCCTCCAGGAAAGACAGCAGTGACATAAGTTCAGGAATCTACAAAGGATATTCTAAGATAAGCAGTAGTCCTATATGGGGATGGATAAAGCATCAGCTGGTTAAGAGTTTGGACTTTCTTGTTTACTATAAAAATGTCTTGGGGCACCTGGGTGGCTCAGTGTGTTAAGCCTCTGCCTTTGGCTCAGGTCATGATCCCAGGGTCCTGGGATCAAGCCCCACATCAGGCTCTCTGCTCAGCAGGGCAGCCCTC